ATACAATGCGTTGCCTCGTCTTGGCAGCGCGGTGTTTCCTCATTAGGGTTATGCAGTTTGCAGGAAGTCGATTATAACTTATTAGCTATACTTTCTGATATAGCTAAAGTCGTTGATACAGTTGTTGTTATCGTGGTTTACCGTTGATCCGGGCATCACTGTTAATCTTAGCGGAAACCGTTCTCCCAAACCCATTCTACTTGAGTTCTTATCGAAGTTGGCTTTGTACAAGCACAAACAGCGGCAAGATATTTCGCGCGCCCAATTTAATATGTTATTGAACTGTATCATCACTATCATTGCTCGGATATGAGTTCTAATCTTTACATCTATCCTTCGGTGTCAGTTTCTAGAAACGGCTGGATCCGTCTCTGGATTTTCTATAAGTATGAGTCTCTGAAATGGTCTATAGTCTAGACAGAGTCTAGTGGACTGATTGTGTGATCTGATACTCCGTTGAATAACCTCATTCTACCTCTAGTTCTACTGTCACTAATAGTGGCTCACTATCGTGATCGATCGAGTAGTAGCAAGACAGCAAGGCTGACTGGCAGTCAGCTGCGCGGCCGCCGGCGGCGGCTGGGAAGGCGGCAGCCAGAAGCACATGCCAGAAGGCGTCACAAGACTCATTGGTCTTGTGTTTGACGAATTTCAACTTGTGTTTCCGAGTTCATAACTTTCATTTACGAATTTGAACTTTCATTTTTGAGTGGTCTACGAAAATCGAACCTTCATTTCGAATTTGAACTTTCATTCGGTGAAAAACTCCTTTCATCCGACTAAAATCAAATTTCATTTTTCTAATTTGTTCTTTCATTTGCCAAATTTGAGATTGAAAAGGTGTAGTAATTCTGTCTGTGTTGCGTTACCCCTGTCCAATTCTTCTACACCTCTGCACAGTCCATAAGAATAGCTCTACGAAGGCACTCCGATGAGTGCCACTGCCCATCAGTGAATGTTTCTCGTGTAGAATGTCAAAGTTGCCCGTAATACTTACCTAATGCCTACTTAAGAGTTCAACTTCTGGATATTGTTGAGTCATCAATACGTACAATCGTATTAAACCATGGGACACAATTGAAACGATGCAAAAAGAGAGGATACTCGAAGATGGGGACTCATTTGAACTGTTATCTCATCTGATTCAATCGCGACGTGCAAGAGTTATCATGTTTTCGGTATTCAGCATTGATCATAACTCGCGCTGTCTTCGGAGTGAATGATATATCTCACTAGAGTGCTATCACGCTTCGATCCGGTACTAAGTGACTCACTCAAAGTGAGACACGAGGTGTGACACCTTTGATTATCAGAGTCTGATAGATAAGATATTTAGTAAGTGCACAGCCTGTGCACTTATCAGTTGTTGTGCAGCGCACTTAGTAGGGTGGTTGAGCGCGCCAGGGTCAAACCCATGGGTGCCCTGTGCAGCACAGGGCACAAACATGTTCTGGAGCATAAGATATAAGGCGCAATACCGTAATCGAACGAGAAGTGTCTGCTCGATTGTATATTGCTCGTACGAATGATGCAAAATGACAAGTTTGCTAATGGTGCTAAGGGAGACGCAGTTTGAGCGAATGAGCAAAACGCTAGTATATATTCCCGTAGGGCGTAGGTTACATTTCGGCGGTTGTGATTGTGGGCGGTTGTGTTTCGGCTTTTTGCTCTCTTGTAACCGTTACAAGAGCAAAAAGCCGAAACATAGAAGTAGCGCAGCATTGTCACATACCGGCATCTGCCAAGTTGTATATTTCATGCAGGAACATCCCACAAGAGCAAACCTTGAAAAATGCCAGACTTTATAATTACAACGCAAAACATATCAAACAGCAAATGAGCACAACTTGCCAGAATAACGAAAACGTGCGGGCGAAGCACACTTGGGCAAAAGTGCCAGCGTGTACAACACTCCGGGGGAATATACAATTCAGCAAAAAAAGGATCAAAGCAGAGCGATTTGGTAGAAAAATGCTTTTAAATTTGCTACTTTCAACATTTGGTTGCCAACACCTATACCAGAAATTGCCAAAAACAATACCGGAAAAGCGATTGCCGGATTGTGTCACGCCGAATGAAACATAACCATTACACAGACCACTGAAAACCACCATCAATGAAACATAACCATTACACAGACCACTGAAAACCACCATCAATGAAACATAACCATTACACAGACCACTGAAAACCACCATCAATAAAACATAACCATTACACAGACCACTGAAAACCACCATCAATAAAACATAACCATTACACAGACCACTGAAAACCACCATCACACCGGTACGACTTTCCATGACATTGAGATTATGCCGAACCATATTATGGTCACCAAAATCGCTACCGAAATTTAGTAGCGATCTAGTAACTAAATATTAAGCGATACGCCTTCACTGAGGCAAAGGAAAGTAGAAGAGAATGAAATATGAATATTTACACTGTGATAGGGAGGGACTGCCCGATATCAACCTTGGGTTTGATCCCGGTAAAGTTGGACAATCTACAGTATCAGAATGTACTTAAAAGGTTACGGGACCGGCGTGCCAGATCTCCCAACGATGGTTCCAAGATTTACCCCAGAATAAGACCTTCACCCAGGCGTTGAAGTTGACACCAGAGACAAACTCCCATTTATTAGCCAAGTGATCCACGGAGTGGCCCTTGATATCAATCGACACACCAGCACCAGCAAAGTACAAAGAGACGCTGGT